GTTTTCCACCAATGAACATCGCGCCAGTAGATGTTGGGCTTGGGGCTAAACTGGGAGCTGCCCGTCCTGTCTGATAGACTTTCTGTATTTCAGAAAGGAGACGCTTTTTCATTACCCCCACATTGTCTTTGTCTCGAAAACCAAGATGTTTAAACCTAACATCCAGAAATGCACTGGCAGCTGGACGGTCAATGCTCTCAATACCCCCTGTGAATAAGGGATAATTCTCCCTCATCTAAGCACAATGTGTTCCTCCCTACAGGGCAGAGGGCTGTGGTCACTGTGCTCACAGCTTCCTTTTGCTCTCAGAGCCTCTCCAGCTTGTAAAAAACTGAATTCCAGCGAGTAGCTACTGACTGCATCAGCTTGTGCTCTGCCACGTTCAACTATTGCTGAATAGTGATTTAAGCAAGAAGTGCTCCCGTAGTGGTGGAAAGTATAATACGTGTAATAAGGTTTCGTAGGAGCCATTGGTGATGAGGTTACTTTAATGACCCCTGCTGGCCAATCCTGACCTTGCGGCTTTGGAACGGGGAGTTGGGGTTGCACACCTGTGCCAATTAGTAGGTCAGGGGAAGCTAAAGGAGGAGCCCTTGACAGAGTTTGGAGGGTTTTTTGGAATCGAATGTTGGAGGTACGTACCATCCTCAAACGGATGGCCTAGTGGAGCGCTTCGACAAGACCCTCAAGTATATGCTGAAGAAGTTTGTGAATGACTCTGTAACAGCACAAATGGCAGCCATCGGTCCATTGAGAGGGAGGGTTTTTTGGAATCGAATGTTGGAGGTACGTGGACGCCAGCAGGCATATGGTTTTTCAATTTTAGCTTGTTTTTTTTGTTTGTTTGTTGGTTTATTTATAAGTTTAGTAACAGTCTATTTTTGTTGTTATACGTTTAAGTTGTTTATCCAAAGATAAAGGAATAAACAGAACAGCATATTGAAACCCCTGAGGCGTCCGAAGTGACTTATTGGAAGGCACAACAGGTTTAGTCTAGAATTGTAGTTTGTGTGATGTTATACAGTATATTAGTTATTCATTCATACTGACGATTTGAATGACAAGGGTGCAAAAGAACTTTTGACTATTTTAGACACATTTGAACTGTCTCAACATGTAAAAGAGGCTACTCATTGTAAGGGACACACCCTGGACCTGATTATCACAAAAGGTCTCATTGTTTCGGATGTTTTTGTGACTGATGCCTCATTGTCTGACCACTTCTGTGTTTTCTTTAATATTTCTTTCATTCCTGACACACAATCAAAATCAAATACTGTCAAAAAACGGTACATCAATGAACATACTAATGTACTCTTTAAAAATGTCATCTCCTCGTTACCACCTCTAATCCCATGTCATGCTGATAATCTTGTAAACAACTTTAATTCCAAAATTTTGAATGTTATAGATGACATAGCACCTGCTACGGTTAAAACCAGTTCTAGTAAGCAAAAGGCGCCCAGGAGAAAAGCTGCTGTTGTAACAGCCCAGAGAAGAGAGTGCAGGAAGGCTGAACGAATCTGGCAGAATACAAAACTTCATACTCACCATGACATCTATAAAGAGCGCCTCCGGGCCTACAATTTAGACTTAAAAAGTGCTAGGGAAACATTCTTCTCCAACATCATCAACAACAACACTAATAAGGCAAAAACCCTGTTTGAAACTGTTGACAGACTGACCAACCCCCCGACACAAATACCACCTGAACTCCATTCCACACAGAAATGCAACGAGTTTGCGTTCTTTTATACTGATAAAATTGAAGGCATCAGACGCGCCATTAATATCTCAAGCAAAAATGTTGGATCACCACCCTATTTAGGCAAAAGTAACACAGCAATGATGACAAGCTTTAATGCCATAGACTCTCAAACTCTAGAGGAAACGGTGACAAATTTAAAACCATCCACCTGCTGTCTTGATGCTCTACCTACCAACTTCTTTAAGAATGTTTTTGGCTGCCTAGCAACAGACGTATTGCTAATAGTTAATAACTCTATTCAGACAGGCCATTTCCCAAAAGCTTTCAAAACTGCAGTTATTAAACCTCTCCTAAAAAAGCGGAGCCTAGATGCCTCTATTATCAACAACTACAGACCAATTTCAAATCTACCTTTCATAAGTAAAATAATTGAGAAAGTTGTCCTACAACAACTTAATCACTTCCTGGCTTCAACTGGCTGCCACGACAACTTCCAGTCAGGATTTCGACCTCTTCATAGCACCGAGACGGCCCTTATTAAAGTAGTAAATGACATCTGTCTTAACACAGACTCTGGCAAAACTTCAATATTAATGCTATTAGACCTCAGTGCTGCATTTGATACTGTCGACCACTCAATACTTTTGGACAGGTAGGAAAGCTGGGTGGGGCTCTCAGGCACAGTCTTAAGCTGGTTCAGGTCATATCTACAAGACAGGAACTATTTTGTTTCCATTGGTGACTTTGTATCAGAAACAACCGACGTAACGTGTGGAGTTCCCCAAGGTTCGATCTTAGGGCCGACTTTATTCAACATCTACATGCTCCCACTAGGACAAATCATGCAAAACAATAAAATTGACCACCATTGCTACGCTGATGACACCCAAATCTATGTAGCGCTATCACCAAACGACTATCGCCCCATAGATCTTCTGTGCCAGTGCATTGAGCAAATCAAAGACTGGATGTGTCAAAATGTCCTACAACTAAATGAAGAAAAAACTGAGATCATTGTATTTGGTGCTAAAAAAGAAAGGTTTAAAGTAACCCAACACCTTCACTCTCTGTCCCTGAAAACATCAAATAAAGCCAGAAATCTGGGGGTTGTTATGGATTCAGATTTACACTTGGAGAGTCACATCAAATCAGTAACACAATCGGCCTACTACCACCTCAAAAATGTAGCACGACTTAGAGGGCTCATGTCAGCTCAAGACTTAGAAACACTTGTACATGTCTTTATAACCAGTAGGCTGGACTATTGTAATGGTCTCCTTGCAGGTCTTCCAAAAAAAACTGTCAGGCAGCTCCAGCTTGTTCAGAACGCTGCTGCTAGAGTTCTAACAAAGACCCAAAAATGTGAGCACATTACACCAATTCTTAAATCCTTACATTGGCTCCCAGTATGTCAGAGAATTAATTTCAAAATCCTACTGCTCACATATAAATCACTACATGGTTTAGGGCCAAAGTATATCACTGATATGCTTCCACTACATAAGCCTTCAAGATCACTAAGATCTTCTGACACAAATCTGTTAGTGATTCCCAGAGTAAATACAAATCATGGGAAAGCATCATTTAGTTACTACGCAACAAACAGCTGGAATAAACTTCCTGAAGATTTAAGACTTAAACTCTGACCACGTTTAAAACAAGACTGAAAACTTTATGTTCAGCTTAGCCTTCTGCTAAATTTTACCTACATTGCACTTTTAACCTGTGCCTTTAATTAAACAATTTAAATAAGATTTTGATTTATAATTTAATTTGCTGTTTTTAATTGTCTTTTAATTCCTGCATTTCATTTCACTTCATTGTATGAAATGTTATGAGGTGAAGCACTTTGAGTCTGCCTTGTGTATGAAAAGCGCTATACAAATAAAATTGCCTTGACTTGCCTTATTACATTAACATGTTAGATGAAGTGAATGCAGTATGAATCAAACACAACTCATAGTCATGTAAATCATATAAACACTGTACACATTAACATTCTGTCACAATTGGATGTGAAAACCTGGGGACGGATGCTAGATAACGTCCTTTATGGATTTCTCCCAAATTTTCTCCAGGAGTTTTCTGTCCTGTCAGATAGTAGATGAGCAACTGAAGACAGCCGACTTTGACCCTTTGACCACTCGGGCAAAAACTCTAGAGATCTCCAGATCATTATTATCCCAAAAACAATATTGTTCCTGTCAGGCCAAAGGTTCCAATTATGCAATTTCAGAGTGTCAGTCTGAACACAATCGTTAATTTGTAAAACGTTGGATGCTGATGAATCACAGATACGCCACAAACTCAATTGTCATTCTAATTTCATATTATTGCTTGTGAATTGTTTTAGTGTTTTACTGCATTTAAGGTTCCACACTCATACAAGGGTTGGAACTAAGTATTTTTGAATTTTTGCTTAGGAATACTTAACTTTTTAGCAATAATAATAGTAATGATTAACTTCACCAAGTTCACCTGAATATAACTTTGCATCTGTGGTGACTTCATTCATCAGCTCTATACTAATAATGTCAATGAGTGTTTCTTAATCAAAGCTTCCCAAAATAAGCAGCATTGAGTTTGAGCGTGTTTGATGATTATAAGTTGATGCATATTAAACATCAATAACATGATTTCTCAGGACATAAAAACAACTGAGAGAGAAATGTCACCTTCTCGTGTGTCGAGCAGACAGCTTGTTATTTGGGCTGAAGTAGAAGCATCGTGAGTTAATAAGTTATTCATTCATCTAATCGCGTGTCATGTGCTCCGCTGTTCACAGTTGATCTACAGACAAAATAATCACAATATAATAATGACAGCACTAAAAATTCAAACTTTTAGTGCTGAATTCCGTCATCAGCTGAATACTGACCTGAACTGAACAGATGCACCTGGATTTATAGATTCCCTAGAAATAACAAGTTGGGCAACAGATTACACATTTTCCTCGATACATAAATGAGTAGAACTTGTTTATGTACAATAGTGACTATTATGAATGAAGTGTATTTTTGGTAGATTAATAATAAACCATGGATCAATATCAGGCAACAAGGCAGTTTCTGCTTTAAATTGATAAGCAACAATGAAACAATTTGTACATTTCAATTAAACATGTATAACATGAAATTATGACCATTGTAATATAAATTAATATAAAACCATTATAAAAAAGTAAATACTGTTCCATTTTAAAAATGAACACATTGGGAAAAAGTGATAAGCCACAAACAGCTAAAAATTCCCTCAATTGTGTCGAGGAAACGACTGACAAAAATTCCAAAAGAACTTTGAATGAATAGGAATTTATTCACATATTTTACCATTTAGTCTCTATTAAAAGTCTTTATTATCTAAACCTAGATTATCATCTCATGCGACCATCAACTAGTATTTAACCAATGAATGAACACAATGCTGCAAACAGAAAAACAAGTTGATCTTGGCAATATATACTAGATTATATAGAACGTCAGTTAAGTATAAGGAAACGGTCTTTAGAAGAGGTGGGTGGCTCTTAGAAGAGCCTTTGGGTTGGTGGTCTACATCAGGCTCACTTGGAGCTGGTGTACTTGGTCACGGCCTTGGTCCCCTCAGACACGGCGTGCTTGGCCAGCTCGCCGGGCAGCAGCAGGCGCACAGCGGTCTGGATCTCCCTGGAGGTGATGGTGGAGCGCTTGTTGTAGTGAGCCAGGCGAGAGGCCTCGCCGGCGATGCGCTCAAAGATGTCGCTCACGAACGAGTTCATGATGCCCATGGCCTTGGAGGAGATGCCGGTGTCGGGGTGGACCTGCTTCATCACCTTGTACACGTAGATGGCGTAGCTCTCCTTCCTGGTCTTCCTCTTCTTCTTGCCGCTCTTGCTGACGGCCTTGGACACGGCTTTCTTGGAGCCCTTCTTGGGCGCTTTCACAACCTCAGGCATGATTCAAGTCTCTGTCGCAGACTGACAATGTCGCGATGTGAACAGGACGGTGTTCATATATGAACGAGATGCAAATGTCACTGTGCGGTTGCTCGAGCGTGATTGGTTGTCTTCTGTGTGATACTGCGCATGCGTCTCACAGGCGGATTTCTCTATTGAGACCGAATCACTTTGGTGCTTTTAACACGAGTTTGTCTCGTGAGTTTCACATTGAGAATCATGTTGTAAGAATCATTGTGTGCACTGAAATCATCTAATGACCGTCACACAAACCATTCACAATCACAGGGCCCTGTTGATAGTTACAGTTACACACTTCAATTCTTGACGTGTCAAGACATGACACACACCTTTTTTCATCCAGAATAGACAAATACATGTATAATAGTCATAAATAAATATTATAGGGCACCTTAACAGGACTTGTAGGCATTCAGCACACTGAGCCACGGAAGAGAAACATGTACAGTTTGTGTTCTTATGGCTAGACTCACTTTGTGATGTGACTTTAGAAGTTGGATGAGCACAATTATTCTGATGACTGAAGTCTAGTAGTTTAAATTAACGTTTGAGCGCAGATTAGTTTGTGAGGAATCAAGTAGCTCGACATCAACCATCGGGTTAGTTTGGCTAAAAGAGCTATTTGTCGGAGAGGTCGCAAAGAGTTTATTTTAATGGTGTATTATCTTGTAGCAAGTCCCTGGATTGTGGTGTTCCTCAAGGAAGTTGCCTCGGACCTTTGTTATTTTCGATTTTTACGAATGATATGCCGTATATACTCAGTAAGGCTACATTAACTATGTTTGCTGATGATTCCACTCTTTATTATAAAGCCCCCACATGTTCAGAGCTTAATCAGGTTCTGTCTTGCGAGATGAGCAAATTGTATAACTGGATCAAAACAAATCAACTTGTTCTAGATATTTCAAAAACTATGAGTATAATATTTGTTTCTAAGCATAGACTATCTGATAATCCGAAAATGAATATACAAGTAAATGGTCAAAATGTACAGCAGGTAAAAAAGGTGAAGCTTCTTGGACTTTGGCTGGATTCCACATTGTTATGGTCTGATCACATCAACATAGTGTTTGCTAAAATGGGTAGAACTGTAGCAGTAACGCGTAAATGTGCACAATTTCTAAATTCACGGTTGTTCAGTCGTGTTGTTTGTACATTGGCTTTGTGTCGTCTGGATTACTGTTCTGTTGTATGGTGTGCTGCAGCAATCAGTCATTTAAAAAAATTACAAGTGGCTCAAAATAAGGCTGCAAGACTGGTTCTTGGTTGTTCTTTGCGAACTAGTGTTGCAGAGATGCATGACCGTCTTGCTTGGCAGGTGGTCAAGCATATATATGTGAGTAATTGTGATTGTGATTACTGTTCTTTTATGTATTTTTTTTTTTGGACCCCAGGAAGACTAGCCGTCGTCTCACCGTCAGCTAATGGGGATCCTTTTAAATAAATAAACAAATAGAACATTTGATGGACTGGAATCAGAGAGACAGATTTAACAAATATCCACTGTATTTTTACATTGATTACACTGAGATTTACTGAAATAGCAAAACATCAAAAAGGACAACAGGAAAATAGATCATAGGCACTGAGCCAGTGTTAAACACCGCATCAATGACTTGATCTATAACCAAATACTGATCTAAAAGTTATCTGTTCAGTTGATCCCAAATCAGTTAATTACCCTCAAAGTGTTTTATACACAAACACTTATCAGAACAAATGCAAAGCACCAGAAAGGAGTTTGTTATTGTGCTTCATACTGAGACATGTGGACCGCAGCTCTTTTCGTGGGGGTTGGCGGCTCTTAAAAGAGCCTTTGTGGTGCAGATGGAGGCCTCCGTCTCTACTTCTTGGCGGGCTTCTCGGTCTTCTTGGGCAGCAGCACCGCCTGGATGTTGGGCAGCACGCCGCCCTGAGCGATGGTCACTCCGCCCAGCAGCTTGTTGAGCTCCTCGTCGTTGCGGACAGCCAGCTGCAGGTGACGCGGGATGATGCGGGTCTTCTTGTTGTCGCGGGCGGCGTTTCCGGCCAGCTCCAGGATCTCGGCGGTCAGGTACTCCAGCACGGCCGCCAGGTAGACGGGGGCTCCTGCGCCGACACGCTGCGCGTAGTTCCCTTTGCGCAGATGCCTGTGGACGCGACCGACCGGGAACTGGAGCCCGGCTCGGGAGGAGCGGGTCTTGGCCTTCGCTCTGGCTTTGCCGCCGGTTTTGCCTCTGCCGCTCATCGTTAGACTGTGTGGAGGAAAGGAAGTGTCGCTTAACGCGTCCAACCCTCCTTTATATGTCCGCTGAGGGGGCGGGACGGTCCCTGACGCGCGCACCAACCAGAGAAGAGGCTCCAGGCGCGAGAGCAGAGGGCGGGACCTCTGAGATTTGGCGGAACGTTTGAAATAATTTTCCACCAATGAGCAGCGGAGACTCGCTTCTGGAGGCGCGGCTGAGCTTTTGTTCCCAGCAGTCACCGTCTAATGAATGAATGAATATATGAAGCAATGGATTTCTCAAGGATCTTAGAGAGGAAGGGAAGATTAGAGATAGGTCTGTAGTTAGCCAACACCTCTGGAGCAACAGTAGGTTTCTTAAGAAGAGGTTTAATTACAGCTACCTTGAAGGACTGTGGTACATGTCCTGTCAACAAGGACAGATTCATAATATCGAGTGAAGACGTCCTTAAGCAGACAGAAATCGGATCCAAGAGACTAGTAGAAGATTTAGATTTTGAAATTATAGAAGTCAGCTGTAGGTAATATGTTGTTAAATCGGTTTAAACTTAACTAAATATATTCGAATATCTGTGTTTTTTTAAGCGAATATTCGAACGTGTTCCATGTTGAGAGCCCCAGTGGTCACCTACTGCAGGACGTGGCATGAAGTGGGATTCTGTGCACACATTAATATACAAAATGCTATTAGTGTGCGTAATAAAATTTGTAATTTGTAACCATGGAGTTACGAGACGTTAAAATGTGGAGTGTCCAGTTCATCAAAGGGAATCGACTGCGAGAGAACCCATTTCACCAGAACTCCAACGTGATGTGCTTTTACTTTGGAAATTTGTGTGAGGAAGTTCATGAGTTATGGGAATCATTTCCCACAAAGATCCGTATGCAGTTTACTGAAATGTAATCTAAAGACATCCAAAGGAATGTGACAGCTACAACCAAAATGTGAATGACTTTCATTCACTATTTTTAATTTACATTGGAATACATTGATAAAAGAAGTGAAGCCTAAATTTAAAACCTAATCAATACAAATTTCAGTTTTTGTAAACATCACTTGACTTCAAATCATTACTATTTCACAGTTGTTTCTTTTGAACCTGCAGTTTACATTTTGTCTTTGTGATGCTTCGGTTTCCTTCTGCTGTCGAAAACTAAAATATATTCATATGTTTGTATGTCGTAAAGAATGAATGAAGAATTTATCATGCAAATGAGGAACAAAGTTACTATTTTCGCCCCATTTTATTTACTTCTATCACATTAATGTACTGTATTAATGAATACCCTCTAATTAGGTTTATGCAATTTGTTAAAAATGTTTATTAATTGTATTTTTTTTATGTCTATATTATACATCATCCTCATTATAACTAAAGGACATTTTTACACACAATAAGGTCTGCAATAAATCTGTAGTCCTCGTACTGTACATTGTTTTCAATGTATCGTAAATTCCGGACTATAAGCCGTTACTTTTTTCTCACGCTTTGAACCCTGCGGCGCATTTAAATTCCAGTGAACTGTCTGCTGGTAGAAGTGACACAGTCACCCTCGAAATTGTGTCCTGCAACTCAGGTGACACAATCACGCCGGAGGAGAGTGACCGTCCCTCCGGAAAGCGGCAGAGGGCAGATGAAGAGGCCAAACGTGTAAGTTGGTGTAGCAAATCTTTTTTGCAAATACTTACTGTGGGAGTTACAGTGTTTTGTTAGATTTTTAAGTGTTTTTTTTATAAAACAGTTGAGACTTGCGTCAACATTTGAGACTTGAAATGGTGTCTGTAGCTGAAAGATTGGCGAAGCTGAAAAATCTGAAAGTTGAAGAAGTTTAAGAGGATTTGAAAACAAACTCCATTGGAAAACCATGTTAAAATATTCATGATTATTGATTTATATAAATTCAATCTTAAGAGGTAGAAAGCTGAAAAGTCATAGCCCCCCTTTCCTGAATGAGCTGAATATTTTAATATTTGAATAGTTTTAATAGCTCAAAGTGTGAAGGAGTTGAAAGGTTGCACGGAAGAAATAGAAGATGTTGGAATAAAGAACAATACTCGAATGCTTAATGCATTCCAACAATAACGGTGTCTTTAAAGAAACAACTTAGTTATGTGTAACAAAGATGATGAAATAGTTAGGTTGAGGTAAGATCGCCTTGGGTTGAAATAAAATAAATGCAGGTTTCCGGCGGGGTGATAAACTCCTCGCTTCCTGAACTTGTTACGGCTTCCTCTCTGGTTCCACACCGTCACCGTCACACACACACACGCACGCACACGCACGCGCACACGCACACAGATTCCTGTTCCTTCCTGTCGAGCTGCTGCCCGAGGAGAAGGAGAACTCTGGGACGGCTGAGGAGGAAGAGGAGGAAGAGGAGGAGACCCCACACTCACAGCTGAAGGGGCCCCAGGAGGAGTGAGCGCCGCAGGACGGCGTCCGTGAGCTCGTTAGATGTTCATTCCAGGTCCTCCAGGTTCTCACCTCTGGTCTCCTGGCGTCTCTCCTGCAGCCGGACTCGTCTGTCTCCTGACTGTCCCCCCCGGCCTCCAGCTCGCTACCCGAGTCTCATGTAAAATCTCTCCATGAATAAAAATGAATAAATAGGTTGTTTTCAAAAACATTCAGTTCTGAGTTGTTATTTAGCTCCTCCCACCTTTCCGTCGCTGACCACGTGGAGCCGATGCCAGCGGCGGTCAGGGACGGTGGATCGGGGTCAGCGCCCCCGACCCGTGGTTGATGCTCAGCGCCGGAACGCCGTTCCTCAACTCTGCAGGGGGGAGGAGGAAGAGGA